AGTAACGGTACAATTGAAGAATAATTTTTCATCAGCAATACATTTAAGTTTTCAGGATCCTCATCCTACTACACGCCATCGTCTGGCTACAGCACTCAACAGTACAATCCAATTTCGTCTTCTGGTTACTCTAGCGGATCATCCAGTTCATCACAGTACTACAATCCCAACTCAAACTCACCTACTCGTTACTACGACCCAGTTTTGAACACGAACCTCGGTTACCCGAACCAAAACCAGCAGCAACAATACCAATATGGTACCGGATATGGTCAAGCAGGTCAAGCCAACAGTAATCAGGGTTACTATGGACAAACCCAGCAGTACGGACAAACCCAGCAGTACGGACAAAATCAGCAGTATGGACAGAACCAACAGTACCCGAACAACCAGCAATACGGTCAGCAGTACGATAGCGCTCAGAGCTGGTGCTGTGGACCGACATCGACGTCATGTTGCTATCAAAGCAGCACGAGCTCTTCGAACTCCATGTACTACTATGATCCAAGCATGAGCAATAACAATATGAACTCAAAGTATAGTAATGGACAATATAATTACAACAGTGGAACTTATGGAAGCTCTAGCACCATGTTACCGTACACCACAACGACAAGATCTTACGGAAAGAAGAAATAGATAATTCTTCCGAACAGTTGTTTTCTCGTTACTCACCAATAAATGTACAGATATATCCATATTTTTGTTTTCTGCTGTGAGCCTGACGTAAGCCTTTCTAGGACACACTCAAATCTGATTAGTGCAGCTGTCTCAACGGCATGAAATCTTTGAAAGAAATCTCAAACCCTTTTTTGCAGCCATTTCCGTAGCAGTTTTGTATATTAAGGCCACACCTTACGGTCAAGGTGATATTGTAAATAAGCAAGGCAATGAAAGTGGAGTTGCGATGAGGACTGGAAGTAAAGAGAGCAAAAACCGTTGATTACACCCTTAATAAGATCTTCGACCCTTCCAGCAGCGTTGAATGCTAGCACTCTTGGATGGGGAAGGTCGTGTTCGGGAAACAAAATGTAAATAGAGCCTCCACGTACGGCTTTGAATGAACCTCGGCATAATGTAGCTTGTTGTTATTTTCTTTGAAGCTCCTCACGAGGTTGGCAATTTTCTCAAGTTTTGGCAGTAGGTTAGAGGACGATGACAACCGTCCTCTACTGCAGCTCGTGCAAGTTGCAGCAATGTACACATTTCACAGTTTCAGTCAACATACCGATACCCTATTTCTCAGAATGTCAACACAACTGTCAACTAGAAAGCCGCCACGAATGTCCGTGCAAATGAGACGGTGACGGATTGACAGCTGTGGAGTACGATCTTGGTTGTCCAGCGTCTCAAATAGAACATCAGATCGAGCACTTTACTCAACTTTCTATGAGACTGCTGATGCAGGGGACAGCCTTAATTGTCCGTGGTTCCTTTGACGTAAGTTGAATGCAAGCTCAACTTAATTGAACCTGTAATATGTCGCTGCACTCACTACTGTCGTTGCAGAAGTCAAAATAGAGAGCCATAACCAACCATTAATCGAAAAATTTGTACTGACAGCACAATTAAACTGGTGACGTCTCCATGGATTTAAAAAAATTAGTCGTAATGATAGAAATAATTGAAGGATCGGAACCCGGAAGAACTTTTGAGGCAAAGGGAGGCATACTAGTTG